AAATTGACTTCAGTTTATGCATACAGAATGAAAGAAAGAAGATCAGTCGTATTTTTTACATCTTTTCACTTTCTTGTATTTTCTTGTATTTTTTTACAAGTCCAGGTTTTTTGTGTTAAGTGAAAACACATATGTGAATGTACTGACATGTATAAATATATCAGACTATCTATCGTTTCCCATGAAGCTGAAGGGACTTTGTGTGGGTTGCTACATTTGGGCTTGTTTTTACTCAACCTTGTTGCTCGTTTTTCCTCACAAGATCTGGCAACACAGCCCGGCTCGTTCAAAACACACAGACTACCCAGCCAATAAATGGATGGCCAGCAGCTGCTGTCAAAAGTATTTGGGAACAGCAATTAATCCTGAGTTGGCACTGATATGACAAAAAAAAAAATGGAGTAAAGCTGACAAAAAGTAATATGTTTTTTTTTTTGATATCATTTGAACAGAATGTGATTCAAAAAAAAAGAGAAGCAGAAGAAAAATTGTTGTGATTACAATTTTTAGTTTTCTGTAAAAAAAAAAAAAGAATTCCAGAGTGATTGATGGCTCCAGACAGTAGGACAGGAGAGGTTCTGCTGCTCAGAGTCGGCGGCGACGCCTCTAGACCAGATGGAGTCAGTGGACTGACAGTCAGAGCTGTGACAGAGCCGAGATGAGGATCACACATCGGCGCCCACTGTGGGTGAAATCATCTGTGTTCTCTCAGCCGTGACGGAAAATAAAAGATTAAAGTTTTTCTTTGTTGGGAACGAGATCCAACTTTCTGCAGCGGGAGGAGGAACAAATGCAGCCTCAGATCATTTGTTAGAGAAACAGAACGTCAGGGTTCAAAGCCCGACGATTCTCGCTCGCTCCACCGCCGCCGCTCCACCGTGCTGTGCTCAACTGGGCGGCAACGACCTCCGTTTCCTCCCCCAGCTCTGCAGCATCTGTCGTGACACACCTGTGCACATGTTCTATCACCACGGCGTCACCATGGCAACTGGATGGTGCTAGCAAATGCCCCGGGTTAATAGCCCCCAGACTAAGAGTCAAAACAATCGTCATCCTCTGCAGGGCCGACAAAAAGGAGAGGAGTTTCAGTGACAGACGGCGACCTGAGGCCGCCGGGAGGTCAAGACAACAACTGCTGTGATTTAGGCAACAGACCAAAGGAATCATTATGAAAATGAATGACAGGCGGTCGAGCATCAAGTCATTTCAAGGCCTGGGAGGAAAAAACAAAAACCCACTCAGGTCATTAGTGCGAGGTCTGTCATTTATGGTGAAAGAACTGTGGATTGGAGTCAAAGTCAAAGGCACAAGGAGGAGACGAACAGAAAGGACGTCGGTGTTCAAGTATCAGGTACTGATAACCAGGTCACATCATTGATCTCAGTTTCTAAGCTATGACAAAAAGATAGAAAGTGGAGAAAGTAGAATTGATGGTCATTGTGCTCTCGCCTTGAAATGCAATAAAAATTTTAAATGATTCATTTCATTTCACAAAATAATTAGATTAAAAAAAGTTAATCACAAACGGTCCCTCGTCCACCGCAAGGGTTACGTTCCAAGACATCGCATGCAATAGTAGAAGTAGAATACGTTCCAAGACATCGCATGCAATAGTTATTTTATTATTAATGTATATATTAACCCTTTACGAGGTATCGTAGGGCATGAAATATGGCAAAAAAAGTTTCAAAAGTTTGAAAACGTATTAACGTATATATTAACCCTTTACGAGAAAAGTTTGAAAACAAAACTTTCACAAATATCGTTTACTCGTACGTACAGGTTATTTCTTGCAGTACTGTCACAAAATGTCTTAATTTTTTAGGCTATTTTAGGCTATTAAATAAATAATGTTAAAATATATTTATATACCACAAAAACCCACGATAGAGCATAAAATCTGGAATACAAGAATACATTCAAAATATTTAAAACCTGCAGCAACGGACAACTCTATACATTTTCAGAGGCCGGTTTTGTGCACTCTTTAATGTCGACTTTCCAGACAAGGGTTGACTCAGATTTTACAAGTCTTCCCTCTTACCTACTCCGACTTTTTCAAAGTCCTTTCCGTCTTCGAGGGTTCAGAGAAACCTTCCTCTGAACATGAAATGAAAATATAATACTTCTACTGTGACAGTAATGGATGACAGACAGCACCAGCGCCGCTCTTATCGACTTCCCCTCGACAGCTCTGAGGCTCCAGCAGCTGAGACGCGGAGTGAAGCTTTGGAAGAGCAGCAGGAGTAACTGGCAGGAACTGCAGATTCCTGGCACAAGGCAGAGCGTAGGCTCACCTGAAGGGGCAGATTTAAATGTGACTCCGCCGCTGCGCTGTCGCAGAATAACAATGATCCCCTCATTTAAAACGAATGCATCTGTTTGGACTGAAGGAGAAAAGGTGACGAAGCAGGTCAAAAAAAACAAAAAAACGCTGAGTGGTGAGAAATAAAATGTCCAGTCAGCGTTCTATATAAATTCTTGGGAGGAGCAGAGGTCTGACACTCTCTGTGAACCTGGTCTTTTTCTAATTAAATCAAAAATATTCCACTTCAGATGCCCCTTTTAAAAGTTCATCAAATTCCAGATTTATCTCATCTGAAAATGTAAAATACAGCCTGCCACAGGTGGTGCATTGTGGGGTTTTGTTGTTTTTTGTTTTTGTCACAGACAAATCCCTTCAGTGCGACGTGGCTGCGGGCGCTGATAATAACACGAACAGAACCACTGTTGGCATATTAATATGATAAAGTAGCTCATCAGCTGAGGTCAGAGGAGCTGGACTCCTGAGGGGCAGCTGCAGTGGGAGGACGCGGCACGTAGATCTTCTCTGGAATATCACAGCCTGCAGTAAAACACGTCATTTTGTACAGAAACAGCCGGACTTTGTCAACGCAGACACTGTTGTGTTGAAAATCACAATCCTGTTGATGTTTCTTGGTGATCTTCGTCTATGATTACGTTCCAAGACCGGCCGCGACAGGCGTTAAACCGCAAAGTAGAGACGCGATAGTTATTATATTATTTACGTATATATTAACCCTTTAGGGGCATCGTAGGGCATATATGATGCGATATATGGCAAAACGGCATCGTAGGGCATATATGATGCGATACATGGCAAAACACTTAACGAAACTTTTACAAATCTCGTTTAACCGCACATACAAGTTATTTCTTGTGATACCCTGTTACAAAATGTCTTTAATTTAATTAATTTAATTTTCTTACTATTTTTCAGTAGTTAGTTTTTCTTCCTAGGCTAGAAAATGCTTATTTTATCATGAAAATAATGAAAATATTGGAATTTTTTTTTTATATAAATCGCAAAACCCATGATAGAGCGAAAAATCTGCAATACAAGAATACATTTTAAAATAATTAAAAACCTGCGATTCACTGAGGGCACTACAGCCAAACTGCAACTGGACGACTGTCTTCTGTGTTTTCACTGAAAAACACAAACATTTTGGACGTTCTCAACGGAAAGGTCTGGGGATCACTGTAGTCAGTATTTTTGGAGGAGAGCTCCGTGAGTGGCTCCCCCTGGCTGCTCCCCGCAGATATGATAATGAGAAAAATCCTCCATCTGTTTGTTCACTTGAATCTGCCTCAAAAAAAAAAACATGGTTGGAATCTGTTAAATTTATTTCTGCTCTAATTGGCCGTTTTGTTGCGAGGCCGTTCTGCTGCAGCGACCGTTGACTGAAACCAATCAGTCGTTAATCAGAGCTCTGCTCAAGGGCGTTAACCACAGCATTGAACTAGCACAACCTGTTGACTGTGTTTAGTATTAATATTTGAAACTATAAACAATCAAAAATGTATATCGTTGACAATGAGTTTTTCTGCCACGTCTGTTTCTTAATTGATATTTAAGTATGGCTCATTATGTGACAGATATGTAGTTATGTCATATCCATGTCACGGATCATTAAGAAAAATTAAAACCTAATGAAATAGAAAAGCTGTGACACCAGAGTATCAGTTGCATCAGTCACAAAATAAATTGTCGTAATGAGTAAAAAAGATCTAGTCTATATTGTTGTTGTTGTTTTTTTTGTATTTAACATTTTTTTCACAAGAATCAAATAGTGATGTTTAATCTGGAAAGACTTTTCTAGTACACCTCAAGAAAACATATATAAGTCGCCCCAGAGTATAAGTCACACCAGTGCCCTCTAGCGGCTATCAGTGTGAAAATATCGAATATGAGAAATAATATATTTTTAAATATATAAGTCGCACCTGATTATGTCACTAAATATTTTTTAATATATAAGTCACACCTGTTTATGTCACCAACCAGCCAAAGGAAGAAAAAAACTATGACTTATAGTTCGGAAAATGCGGTAATCGTAATTTTTTAATATAGCTGTAGCAGCACCCAGCTGTCACGAGTGCTGACGGTGCCCTCCTGTGGTCGTACATAGTATAACATTTTTAATATATAAGTCGCAGGACTTGCCAGGTTACTAACAATAAATCGTGTCTTATAGTCTTGAAAAATTAAGTATTTAATATTTGTCACATGTTAAAATTAAAATGAGCGTTGAGGAAGATTTGAAACAAAAACCTACATAACTGAGTCACTCAGTCTTATGACCTTTAAAATGTAATGTGCAGTGCCACACTGTATGACATGTTCACTGATGCAACAAATTCAAAACTGTTGCACAAGAGACAAGAATCTGACGTCTCTTCAACGGGAAGATTCATTTCATGGTCAAAATAAAAAAAAGAATCAACCAGAGATGATGTGTTGCTGCAGACAACCAGATTATACTTGTGCCAAAGAATGACACTTTTTGGTTACGTTTAGTTCTACTGAAAATAATAGGTGGTCAATCAAGAGATGAAAATGTCACTCACCCTCTCGGCGGACTGTGCAGTCCCAAAGAAGATGGGGATGAAGGCCAGCCAGATGATGCAGGTGGTGTACATGGTAAATCCAATGGGTTTGGCTTCGTTAAAGGTCTCTGGCACGCCTCGTGTTTTGATGGCGTAAACAGTGCATGTGACCATCAGGAGGATGCTGTATCCCAGAGAGCAGATGAGCGACAGGTCAGAGATGTCACACTTTAACACGCCCCTGGCATTCTCAGGATCCTGCGTACGCTGCTCTCCATAATCGATGAAGGTGTGTGGGGGGTCGACGGTGAACCACATGAAGACACCCAGCAGCTGAACGCAGATGAGTGAGAAGGTGATGACCAGTTGGGATGCAGGTGAGATGAAGCGCGGTGCCGTCACTGCCTTCTTGCCCTGCTCGAAGATGCGGTGGATGCGGTTGGTCTTGGTGAGCAGCGCGGCGTAGCTGAAGCACATGCCCAGGCCGAGGAAAATGCGTCGGAAAGAGCAGACCACGATGTCGGGCGCGGCGATCATGGGGAAGGTGACGATGTAACACAGGAAGATACCTGTCAACAGAACGTAGCTCATCTCCCGCCCAGAGGCGCGCACGATCGGGGTGTCGTGGTAACGCACGAAAGTGACAATGACAAAGGTGGTGGCAATAATACCCAGGACGGAGATGAAGACAGGCACCAGAGCCCAGGGCGAGTGCCACTCCAGCTTGATGATAGGAATAGGCTGGCAGCCGGTACGGTTCTGGTCCGGTCTCATCTCATAAGGGCACAGCTCACATGTGAACTCGGTGGCCTGGAAGTGGTAGCCCTCACAGCGCTCACAGTGCCAACAGCAAGGCACACCTTTGACCACCTTCTTCCTCTCGCCCGTCGTACAGGGAAGACTGCAGACGGAGGACGGTACGGAGGTGCTGTCGGTGTTCCACTGCAGCGCCTCCATCTGGGCGGATCACAAACAGCAGCGTTACAGTAGATCGTTAAAAAGGACAGATACGTGTGGTGTGTCAACAGTGTTTCCCAACTGTCTTTGTTTTCTCACCAAACACAAATCTCACAAAAAGTATCTGTAATGAAATATAATCATCAATTAGTTTAAATGACTTTATGATTGACTAAAATCTCAGCCTGTTTAGTTGAAGACAACGCTGATATACTGACAGGAACTGAAGAAAGACACTCACAAAGATCTTCTTTAACAGCTCTGATTCTCTTTTTTTTAGTTTTCATACCCATCTACTGCCACCTAGGGGATGAGTATTTAAACGCGCTGCCTGTCACACTAACAAAGAAACAATATTTGCAACATGTAAATAGTATTTTTAGCCCAATTAAGTGAAATTGGGTAATTTTCCGAGGCACATTAGTGTGCCACGGCACAGAGGTTGGGAATCACTGCTTCACATCATGTCTACTGTCCACTGACTCACACTGACGAACATCATGTCTACTGTCCACTGACTCAGCACAGTGAGAAAAAGCAGTACTTGAGCTTAAGATATTTTTCACCCAATTCTTGAAGATTTTTTGATTCAAACATTTTTGTTTTTAATTAAAGTCATTTATGAAATAATAAAACATAGGTTTGTGTGGGACTGTACACTCATTTATCCATGTTGATACACATTATACGTCGTATCCTCACATAGAGATGCAGCTGATTGGTCCATTGTCCAATGACCTTGTACTCGGCCGTCGACCTGTTGTTTATCTGATACTGGAAGATGTCGTAGCGCCCGGGGGCGTCGCCGTTCTCGTTAAAGATGACTGGAGTTCCTGCACTTCCTGTGGGAAAAAAAATATGCAAAAATGTGTCTCAGTGTTTCTGTGACAACCAGGACGAACTTTTTCATAAACTAAAAACTAAAACTTGATTCAGGATAAAAAAAAGTGTTTAAAAAAAATCAATTGTTTTATCAAGAATTAACTGGAAACTGAAACTCAACCTGGAGCTTCATTAAAATTAACCAAGCCTTCTGAGCTGGAGCGAGAGTGAATTATTACAGTGATTATATAAGAAGACCGTGTGGCGGGATTAGAGAAGAGCTGAAACTGGAGGGATCGTAAAAGCGTCAGGGAAAAGCAGAAGCAATAAACTCAGGGTAGAAATTGTGATCAACCTGCCCACGGGCCAAAACAGGAAGACTGGAAATCACAGAGTCTTTATCAGAACCAGAGTGGATTCTGGGTTAGAAAACAGAAGTGAGGTCAGTGGTGAGACGTTAGAGGTCAGAGGTCAGAGGTCAGGGCAGACGATGGGTTGGTGTGTTAGAGGTCAGAGGTCAGAGGTCAGAGCAGACGATGGGTTGGTGTGAAAAGCTCTGCTCACTTTCTGTTCAGCTGCTGTTAACAAGCAGGTAGTTCATACTAGAAGGATTGACTTTATCTTCATTTGATCTAATGTCAGTTTGAAGACTAATAATGTAAAAAATATTAGCAACAAAAACAAGTTCAGAACATGGCCACATCTGGACTGCTGATTCAAAATGCAAAATGCGAGTCTTTGCAACCCACACAGGCCGCCACTAGAGGCACCATTAGTGATATGTAGTCCCTCTGGGGCTCGAACAAAGGACCTCCTGCGTAAGGCAAACGTGACAACCGCTACACTATGATGATATCTGTAGATTGACAGCAGTCAGGACGCAGCGGACATTTTTAATTCAAGAAGCGTCTGGACTGCAGGCAGGACAGTCAGACACAGGTTTATTATAAAGCCTTTGAAATACAAGACACTGTATGAAAAGGTGTGTGTGTGTGTGTGTGTGTGTCTCCTCCATTGTACATTCACCAAGTGTATATGTAGTAATCAATTATTTTCTTCAGTCCAGTGTCAACCATCTCCCCTCTGGGATCAGTGAAGTATTTTTGATCCTGACTCCTGAAGTGAGTAACATCTTAAATGTAACCAAGCAGAGAATATGAGCCCTCCAGGGCATCTGCTCTTTGGCATAAAAATAACATTGGCCTGTCATTTGCAGTCTCGTAGAATCCCAGTTTATCGACAACCGCTGTATTCATTGCATCATCATTCAGCGGTGCTGTGTTTCTACCCTGGGGGAAACTTAAAGGAGGCGAACAACAGTGTGCTGAAGTTGAGGTGGATTAGTTCTGAGCAGCTGGAGCCGAGAGGAAGAGCAGCAAATCGCAGCTAAAGAGCACGAGCGAAAACCAGAAGAAAGGAAAAAAAAAAGGAAAAAGTGATTTATAATGAAGTGAGTGGGAGGTTGTTGGATTCTGTCCTGCTCTGATTCCCTTCATCAACATCAACACAAGCATCACAAATCACATCAACGCGGAGCTGATTCACCGCTGCTCGCCCGAGGACGTAAACACTCCCTCCATCACTTCTTCCTCTGCACATTCCTCTTGATTTCACTTCAGAGAATCTGTCCAAACAACAAACAAGCCAATTATGAAAACCGGGATAACACATGCTGTCGCGCTGTCATTAAACATAATGAGACGGCCCACAGACGGAGCGCCGTGACGGAGAAACAATGCACTTTTATTACACATTACGCTGCAATGAAATCTGCATAAAACAGACCGCTGCCCTCGTACGTTCCGGTGACAGTGTGACAAAGAACACGTCGAGCCGTGTAGCCGCCCGGAAAGTACGCTTTACACGATGAGCATCAAAGGTAAAGACTGAAGACTACATCAAACAAACGATATTTCACCCAGATATAAACCACATTCTCAACAAACACCGATCAATCAGGACTTATAGTTTATAGGTCAGTTATGGTAAAAAAATATAAATATGGATATATATATATATAATATTCTTAAAAATAATAGTATTAAATCGTATATACTTTCGATTACTTCAATGTACTATAGTATTAATAATACAAATTATACTACTGGTATAATGGTAATGACACACAATTACAAACATAATATTATCAATATTATTATCATCGTCATGATTATTGTATTGTTATCGTTCTGATGATGTCATTATTGTTTAGGTACGTATGTTATTATTAGCATTTGTATTATTAGTAATATTTGTGTTAATTGGTAGTAATAGTTGTAGTACTTGTCGCAGCAACATTCAGTGAGTACTACCAGTACTACTAATACTTTTCTATTAAATACAACAACCCATTCTACCGCTCTGTATTTTATACATTTTGAAAAACTGTGAAAGAAATGAAACTGTTTGGATCCGAGGAGCGATGGTTTTGGTCTCAGGGACCACAAACACGGACCCCGTGGTCAGAGACGTTTGGCTGTGAAACACTCTTAAGTCAAGAAGGAAATATTCAGAGGAGCTGCAGCTCATTCAAGGTGAGAGGCAGCACAGGCGCTGCAGCTGCGCCGCACTGATAACCTCAGCGTCTAATGTAAGACACCGTGACCCAGAGGTTGGACCAAGGAAAGAAATATAAACATTGGTCACAGACAGATACAACTGAAGTGTTGGATGTTGGGTTTGGGGTTTTTTTTTTCTTTTTTGGTGGCTTGTAAAAAATAAATAAATAAATACAATCTCTCAGGCAGATTAGCTCCTTTCATATTCATCACTTCTCTCACCTTCTCTCACCCTCCTCCTCCCCCGCCCCACCACTGATGCCTCTCCAAAGTGTTTTTCTTCCTGCGTCTTCATGAAAAATAGGCTTTTATCGCCTCTCAGCGAGCGCCTGCTGTCCAAAATAATCAGGGGGAAACCTCCCTGATGTCCTGCCTCCTCCTCATTCGCTCCGCTGCCTTGATGGTCACGTTCAAACAGGACGCCACAACAAAGGCCTCGTGCAGATGTCTTTAGTGCAACATTAGCACAAGTGTCTCCATTAGGCTCCCGACGGGCCGCTAAAAATAAACACACAAGCAAGGGCCGCACGGCTGAGTTAGCGATTAGCCCCCTGGCCGACGTCGATGCCGAGCGCCGCTTCACCGGCCCGGGTTCACCGCATTTCATACATGGAATTATGATGGACCACGCTGCCTCGCGTACGGGGAGGTGAAGCATGAAATACGGAGGAGCAGCTCCAGTTTGATTTATGTCAAGGTTTGATGAATGTGAAGGTTCAACTGGGCCTGCAGTTCACACGTTCACACAGGGAGCCCCAAACACAGAGTGACATCAGTGTGTGTGTGTGTGTACGTGTGTGTGTGTGCCCATTTAATCCCCATACTCAGAAATGTGGGCACACTTTCCAGATTGATTTTTAGCGCCAACGCTGATGAACTCAATGCTATTGGATAAACATAAAATGATCGTAGCAACCCATGAAAACAGTTTGCCACTGGGTCACGTTCCATATTTTTGACTTTTTAAGAAACATATTTGGCCATTCTGACTTCAGCTGCCTGTGAACGCTGCTCAGCATATTTAAATAGGGTCTTACTGGAAAATATTTTCCAATGTAAACATCAACAACAAAAAAACCATGTGAGAGAAGTTCAATGACCATGACATGCAGCTCTGCATCAGGCTGAGAACTCTGAGCCCTGAGGGTAGAAAACTGGACTGATTTAATTTAATTTGTCGCTTCTGCAACTTTCAAGGATCCCAAACTTTTTTACGCCGCGACACATAATAATCTTCTAGTTTAAATTGACTGAAAATGTACTCCTGTTTAGTTGAAGACATCGTTGATATACTGGCAGGAATAAAAGAAAGACACTCACAAAGATCTTCAACGGCTCTGATTATCTTTTTTTTTCAGTTTCAATAACCATCTGCTGCCACCTAGTGGCAGATGATTTAATTGCAATAAATAATAGTTTTCAGCCCAACTAAGTGACGTTGGATAATTTTCCGTGGCACACCCCGTGATCTCTCACACCACAGAGGTTGGGAATAACTGTTCTAAAGAACCTCAAAGATCGATCGCAGCTTGGATTTTAGCAGCCGATCGTGGCTAAACCATTGTTTAATTCAAAAGGATGTATTTGACCTATGACCTTTAAACATTGCATGTCAAAACTGCAGTCACATTCGTCTGCAGCCTCTCGCTTGAATAAAGAGACTGAATAACCGCATCTTTTTTCAGGAACCTCTTTCACAGTGAATGAATAAAACAAGAAATACTTTTCACCAGGACGTTGGCTGTAATGGCCTTGGAAATAATCAGTAAATAAAGTCGATTTTTCAAGGCCTAAATGAAAAAAATTACACTTTCTCTAATTCCAGAAAAGGGAAATCGAAGTACAGTCTGAGAAGTTGTATTTAATACGATTTAAAGCTTGAATTCCATCAACAGCAGCTGGTTGTTCACAACCACCATGTTCTGCTACTTTAATGTTTCGTACAAATAATAATAATTTTTCCTATAGCGCCATCTACCTCGTTTCTAACAGCTCTTACCGTTGAAGTTAACGGAACGGACGTAGGCCAGCAGGTCTTTGCCGTCGATGTTGGCCATACGGGGACACAGTCCGGGGTTCCCGGCACAGAGCTCACGGTGCATGTGATGTAGCGCGTGGGCCACGGCGTACACGGCGTCCATGACAAACTGCACCTTCCCCTCCTGCTCGTAGGTGGAGTCACGGCCGACTTTCTCCAACCCTGGAACAGAAAGAGAGTCAAAGTTGATCGAGCAACAAAGACAGGGGTTTATAAAACCGTTACATTTCAAATTCTTAATTTTTTTTTTAATCTGTGAAAACATAAATGTTGGTTGAACCATCATTTTGAAGTCATACTACTGCAGTATTGAGTCTGATTTTTCATTCAAATTCCTGTACTCGATAAGATGTCGAAACCGGCAACCACACATCGGAAACAAAGACAGGAGCAAGACTAACAGTGAGATTTCTTCTATCGCGATAAAAGGAATTTAACCTTTAACTTTCACAGACGAGGACTTCACACCTCACCACAAAGACAGTATTTTTAAATGAAAAGCTCCGCTCACTTTCTGTTCTTCTGTCTGTGTTAACTATGCAGGAAGCTTCATTTTAATTACTCTTATTCTTTAATAATTATTTATTGATTATTTAGGTCAAGACAGTTTTGACGTGTCCTTCCACACTGGTGGAGCGACGTACCGAGAACTACCAGAAGAGGGACGTCCCCAGCCTATCTTCAAGAAGCTGGTGAAGACCCGGCTCCTCCCTGTCCTCCCACTTCCCTCTAAATATAGAACACTAGCATTCTCTCCCGGGAGACTCTATAATACATGTGTCAATCACTGTACCAGGAAACTGTGTTTTTTTTCTCTCTTTTAGTCTCTTGGGGAAAATGTCTGAGTGTAGATTACCTGACTGCACTGTAGACAAGTTAAAACTGCGAGTAAATGTTATGATATATTTAATGACAGCATGTTATTCATCAGAATCTTTTAATTGCTCCAGAAATGATTGTTATTCGACTCGAGGCTGTTCTGAGATTAAAAAAAAAAA